GAAGGACACCGGAGGACTGATTGAGATTGCTAGAGAAGGGGGGATCCAGCTTGGCTCCCAGGTTCCTGTATCCGGTGGCGCCAATAGGTAAGACAGTACTTAAGGCGTACTGGGCTTGGCCAGGAGAAGTGGTTGGCTCTGTTTCGGTGAGGTGGCGTTGTGGAAAGCAGGAGTCAGTTTGGGGTGGAAGGTACATTTAGTTTGGGGGATTGAATAGGCGGCAGGAGGCGGTGGTGTGTGGTCGATTGTCCAGAAGACCCAGAGAAAGGACTAGCAGTGTGGATGAAGTCGCCTTGGGGGAGAGTAAGTAGATGGAGTGGAGAGAAGGGGGTTGGGGGTGGAGGGGAGCTCTGCACATCAGATTGAAGGAGCTGGGAGAAGTAGGGGAACCCTTAAAAATATAGGAGGAGGGGCTTCCAGAGAAGCCCTGAGGGCAAATGTGTTGGTGAAGAAAGAACTCCCGTACATGTTCAGGTATCCCAAAGATGTCAAATAAAAGGACTTCTTACCACTTTTCTGAATGGGAGTCCATGTTGACTTTGGCCAGAAGAGTTTCAGCGGCGAGAGAAGAGTGGACCACATTTCAGTGGGAGGAGGGTGAACGGGTGGGACAGTGGCGACAGAACCTGTGACCCGTTCTTTTCGTGAGGACACAGAGCGAAAGGCAGAGCAGCAGGAAACAGTTTGTTGCCTTACCAAGCGCAGACAGACTACGTGATTCACGGTATTCCCAGCTGTATAAAAACTTACTGTGGTTCTTTGCTGACTCTGTTCCCCAGAATTATTGAATGTATTGAAGTTATTACCAAACTAAGAGAAGAGCTTTGTTCCCCTTTAAAAAGCAAGAATTATAAACTTAAGCGGGCTATTTTGGGACCCATAAGATAAGATGTATGCTAAGACAGATGTGTTGAAGGCTTATCTGTAGATTGATTTAAATGAGCAGAATAGAACCCTTTAAAGACACAGCTGAAATTCCAGATTCTTTGTCCGCTCCTACTTGCAAGGTTGATTTTTTTTTTTCTTCAGAAAAACAATACTGTCTTTCCCAAGGACTATATTCACATTTCCCCCCAAGAGGCAGACAGTGGCTAATGAGCCCGGGGAAAAACACATGGCACATTAGCGTTTCATAAAACTCACTGCCATCAAGTCGGTGCCAAGCTTCGAAACTTGAGCAGAAAGCCTCATCTCGTTCCCAAGGAGCAGCTGATGATTTTGAACTCGTGGCCTTGCAGTTAGCAGCCTGATGCCTTAGTACCACTTCACACCCTCTGCACTGGCTATTATTTCATAAGTAAATCTGCACCAGGTGTGAGAGAGGAGGCTGTGGAGAAATTTGAACCCCAGCACGTTACTGATGGGAAGGATGCAGCCTCAAGCAAAACAGTGGGGCAGTTCTTTGAAAGGGTCAGCCCGGACTCCCCTATGACCAGAGCTTCCACTCCTCGGCCCACCCCCCAAAGAATGGAGAAGGGGGGCTCCAACCGGAATGTGGACAACAGTGTTCACTGCAGCATTATTCACAATTGACAAAAGGTGAAGACCGACCAGCCTATCATCAGCTCCCTGGATAAACAAACTGAGATGTTGGGTACATGGGATATTCCTCAGCGGTAAAGAGAGCCGCCGTCCTGGTGTGTGCTCCTTCCAGCATGGATGGACTTGAGAGGAGAACCGAGTCTGAGGCTAGGTCTAGAAGTATCGCTACCAGTCAGTGTTCCGTGCACACGTATGTCTCTGAGCAGTGGGTGGCTGTGCACATGTTCTCAGTAATATACTTGTCTTAGGCTCACTACGTTGCCTTCGAGAAAAAACAAAGAAAGGCCCAGTGAAAACCTCCGCTGTTGACGGCTCTGCTGGACCAGCTCAGTTCACGACAGAGTTCGGCTCAGAAGGTTATGGGGAGTGCTGGGGAACAGATTCTGAAGATAGATCACAAATCTAGCGAGCCTGATAGAGTTTTCTGGGAGGACACGGCATTTTAGGGGCTTATTGTGAGGATGTTTTAGGAACATTGGAAACGGCATTGGAGAGAACAATCCCAGGAGTGCTGCTGAGGCATTCCCGCATCCCAGCAGTGCGCCGCTCTGGAACAAGGGCAGCCAAGGCGGCTGGAAGGTCTGCTCAGGAAACCTCCCCCCACCCACCAGCCCTGACCCTGCCTCTTCAGGCTTCCTTTGATTCTTAGCAGTGAAAGTGCGCTGATAAAAGAACATGACGTGAGGCCCATACGGATGCCCAGGTTGGCATGGCGTAAATCAGAGCGTATAGAATTCTTCAGGGAAGGGTCAGCCAGATGGAATACTCCTGCAAAAGTACGTAGATCTAGATGGAGGACATATTGGGAAACGGCAGCTTTACCTTTCATTCTTTTTAAAATAAACATTTGGCTTTTTTTTTAACAGTAATACTTTTTTGAATTTTACTTAGAACTTTCATAGAAGCAGGAAGTAGATTCGAGATTTCCAGGCACTTGCTGGGCATGAGGGTGTGTGTCCGTGTGT